TAGAACATCATGGCCACGAAGACCACTCAGCCAGATACTCAAAAACTGTGTTGTTTTCGCTGTTTTGAGGACTTTGGATAAATTGGTGGAGTCAAAATTTATCCATGTTCCCAATCAGCAGCATAGATCTCATGACGCGGGAACATTTCAAATCATGCATTCGAGCCAGATGGGCGGCAACGGCCTCTTCAACATGAGCATCGACTATGTTGGTGGAGCTGCTCCCATGGAAACCGAGGTCCGAGTTTGCATCATTGACCTTCATTGGTTTTTGTAGGCTACTTGCCATTCTCTTTGTGTGACGGGCTCACCACCAAGCCTTGCAAGATTTTTGCACTCCAATGTAGTGTGTCCAAACCTGACGGAGCGTTCTCAGATTTCAAGGTCTCATTGAAATCAATTTTTGATATTGGCATAATGAACACCTTGCAGACGTTTTCTTGAAGCAACACTTTGTTGAGGATGGTCATGGCGAAAGTCATGGAAGCGAAGATGGACATAGTGTGGCTGGCGCAGACCACTCTAATCCTGCAAGTCGGAAACCAAGTAGTTCCGTACGGAAGACCCAACACAGCTTCACTGAAAGAAACAAAAGTATATCCAACTACTAGTAGCAAGAAGCTACCATTAGCTCCTGGCATCGCTACAAGGAGCAAAGGGCATCGCTACTAGTAGCAAGGACGCTATTAGGTTCCAGTTGAGAGATATTTTGTTATTCCCGAGCCTTGGCACCTATCGGACCTATCGTGATCCTTCTCCACAAGCAGCTATCGGTGCAACAAGCAAAGTGAAGACGTCAGCAGCACAAAGTCACACAAAACAGGTAGACGAGTTGTCGACGACTTGAAACTCTGCTTGTCGACGAGGTGATGATTCTGCTCATGGTGCTCATGGCTCCTCCCATAGGTTGGATGGCCGACGTGCATGCTCGACATAGCCGATTGCAACACAACTTGCTTGAGCAACTTTCTGAATGTGTTTAAGCGACTTTGCTTGCAAGTAGGCGTCTTTCTGGTGGTCTGGCCCTTGGCCAGGGTTCAAACCAAAACTTTGGTAAAGGGTCACAGCTTCCATAGCGTATTCATAGCCTGTCCAGAATCGTTTATTTCTTTGTTTGAGGTCACTACAGCAGCTACAAAGAATGCCTGATCAAAGAGTGCGAGCATGACAGCCCTGCAGCGCTTTAGGGTTTACCGGCTTTTTCCGATGAACATCTGCTTGCTCAGCTTGCTCCCTACATCTCGAGATCCGCTTTCAACTTCTCGCAACGCAACGAGGGGGCTCGTCTCAGGACGTCGACTCGCACTGTGGTTCCTTCCCTGACTTCTTTACTTTGATTGGCCATGCAGGCCTGGAACCTAGTGACTAGTGGCTACTAGTGACTACTAGTGATCCATGATCAGTTTCATATCTTTGGTCATGTTGCTGATGAAAGATTGTTCATCCACAGAAGCATTGCTCAAGCTCTGCACATTTCGCTTGCAACAGAATCCATACTTGATTCATTTTCCTTGTGTGGTTTCACATGAGTTGCAATGACATGGCGAGACCACCCGCAGTTTCCCTGCATGATTGCCAGCTTGCCTGACTGTGTGTGGAGTCTGGCTATGAATGGTTCACACATCAGCCTTGAGCACTGCTTCTTTAGTCGGACGAGACAAAGGGTAAGCTGTGGTACAATCCTTGCCTCATCGTTCTACCTGTACCTTAGAAACATTAGATGATATATTCGCAGTGTCATACTTTTCGAATCTGTTTGAGCAAACTCATGGTTGTTGCAGTGAATGTAATTGCAGAAGCTACTAGTAGCAGGGGCATGGCTAGTAACACGGTCATTACTACTAGTAACTAGTAGCAAGATGCTGCTAGTAGCAAAGGGCATGACTAGTAATGGCTCCTCCCTCCCTGGACACACATGTTTGTGTTTGGCCTCCAGACTAGTTTTCCACTGCTCAGAACCTGGCTGCCCTGTCAAGCTGCTGCTTGCACACTGTATTCTTTCATTGTTTTTGGTGCATCCGCTGCAACACCGTTTTCGGTGAATCCCATCCTGCAAGTTTGCAGCACTTTCTGCTCCACTGCAACAACACGAAGTTTCTCTCTTCAAAGTGACCTCAAAATTCGACAAGAACATGCATTGCACACCATTTCCCCATCAATTTTGGAACAGCACTTGGAATTGGTGAGACATTTGTGCGCATGGAAATGCCTCCCATGCTCCAAGGTGTTGGTTTGATGATCTTTGAAAGCGGTATGCACTTTGACTTTGAAAAGGCGCAGGTGCTGTGCTGCAGTAAGAACGTGGAAAAAAAGGGGTGATTCCCAGAGCGTTGTGTCATTCTTTTTCCGCGAAGATAGAATCTTCCACCGCTTGTCAAAAACACAAGGTGAATCCCGAAAATCACTCAGAAAGCAAACAGGTTGCAGTTGGACTTATGATCTTTTTTTAAAGGAATCGAAAAGAGGTCTTTTGAGCTAAGGTGCTTCCAGACTGTGACCGAAACTCCTTGCGACTGGTCTCAGGTGGTGGGTCCTCCTGCGGTGTGCGTGGCGATCCTGGGTACCATTTTGCCCTTGGCCGACCAGCTCAGCTGAAAGGATTCAAAGAGAGACGAAGAAAAGCTTAAAAAAGAAGACAAAGATAAAGAGCAGAACAGACACATGAAGATAAAGAGGACAGAACTTGATTCCGCGCTCTGTCATTTGCACAAATGAAGGTCATGGGGAGTTTGCTCACGGTTCTTTTCGGGCGGCCCTTAATGTGCCTTGGAGTTGCCTTGGCTCATTCTCGTTCTAAGCCTGTTGAGACTGGGACTTCATCGATTAAGCAGATGGTCTGGAAGGCCTGATGGCATTGCAGCTGGGACTGCTTTGGCTCCCACCAGTCTGCCTGGCGACGAAGTTTCTTGTGAATCCGAATCCATTCTTTCAATCTTCATCGTTCCTTTTGTTTTGCTAAAAAAACGGTATGTATGCTTATGTTTCTATTAAGTCCTTTTGAATATGGTTTCTTCGTGCCAGGTGTCGGGATTGCTTTGCGCCTCCTCGGTGAGGCAGGTGTCCTGCAGGAGAACTTTGGGCAGGTCCGCTGTGCGCTGTGCATGCCTTGATGTGCTTTGAAGTGGCAAATGAAGGGAGGGAAGGGAAGAGAAAACGCAGAAAGGTATAGACTCAGTGTAGACACTGTGGACGGTGAACGATAGGAAAGAACCATAGAAAGATTCTGGCGCTTCAAGCGATGCGCAGCTGGTGTCTTGGTAGCTTTGCCGCTGCAGCATTTTGGCGAGGCCATCATCACGGCAGCTTTTGTGGCGTTTGACTCAGCTTTTTTGAGGTCTTGCTTGCTGTATCGCATTCATAAGATTTCGACAGTATCAGTATCTCTACCAGAGCCAAGCAGTCTTTAAGTTGTTTAGATTTGCTCAGTAAGAATCATCAACCTTATCCACATCACCCAAAGCTGAGCCTGCCGAGACATTTTTTTTCTTCCAATACCTGCTGAAAGACCTGGATTTCACGTTGTCACATTGAAAGGATGACATCCTCTCCCTGGTGCTTTTCAATGTTTTGTTTAGCTGAGTCCTCAGTCGTGAGTTCAGGCTATAAAAACATTAATATGTAGGGAAGGCGGGGGAGTGGCCCCCCCCCCAGAAGGACACTTTGAAATCTGAAATCCTTATGTTCAGAGGCATGTTCATATCTTGATAGCCTCAAGAGCCTCCTTTAGTGGTTGAGGTCTGGGCGGCGAGTTCGATGCTTTCAAGACGGTCGTGCCACACTTGGCTGAGCCGCAAAGGAGGCTACATCTGCTGTTCAGTATAGGCAACCTCAGCTTAAACAGCAGACACGGATTGCTCATGCATTTCCTGCAGCTTACTTGTTCAGGCTTCTCATGAGACTCACAAGGAACTTCTGATATTTTTTGCCAGACAGAACAAGAAACACGCCGCATTTGGATTCTGGATCAACATTTAAGACGTAGAGCCGCAATGGCTGTCGCTGCCCACAAGTCTGAACGCTCAAATGACACCAGCCTCCAGGGCACAATGTTTGAGCTGGATTTGGAGAATCTCGATACTGTCGATCCTGAGATCAGCTTGGCGACACCCGGATCGGGAACATCAGAGAAAAGCAAAATCGCATTCTTTGCTCTCCAACGCGCAATTGAGAGGCTTCGCGCATTTTACTATGTCCTACAGGTTGCAATGGGAACTCTTATTGCGGGCATTTGCTTGGCAGTCTTGACTGAAATATTGTGGAGAGTCATACCTGCGGGACGCGTTGCTGAGATTGTCATTTCTGGCTTTAGTGCTTTTGGCTGGTTCCTGACGTCTGCAACAATTGCCATTGCCTCCACTTGTCCCATAGATGAGTTGGACTTCAACTCTTTTGTTCATGCCAGGCCAATCCTTTGCATATTCTTGGCAATCCTCCCGTTGACCACCGCAGCAACACGAGTGTGGGAGATGCCATTTCCACGGTGGACATCCTGCTTAGTTTCTCTCACAATGTTGGTCAATGGTTGTATCTACTACAAGCGTTCATGCTCTCGTTGTCGTCGCTACACGCCATCATTTGGAGTGCTGATGGAAGTGTGGTACTTGGATGTGATTGTAGCCTCAACCATCAATGAGATTGCCCTAGCTGAGCCAGGGGTGGTGACAAACATATGGTTAGCTCTTCATGCAAGCATGGCTTTTGCCCTCCAGTGCCGGCTTTGGTGGAAAAGGGTCCGATCCACCCTGCGTTTCTATGTAACAAGTTACATGGCAATTACATGGAATAGCAGTTATTTTGCCTGCCGTGCCATTGACTTATCTCTGGGGCACAAACAGTGGGAAGAAGGTAGACAGTTGGATGTTGCAATTGGCGCAGCAAGTGTATTTGCTGTGATTGTTTTGATTCCACTCTTGATCGTTTTCCTTCTTGGACGACAACGTCTTTTTGATCGATTGGCACAGTGGGTTGATCAAAGTCGTAGACTTCAAGATGGTGCCTTCATGGCAATGTTGCTGGATTCCTATGTTGTTGAAGTTGGTCAGTCGTGGTGGCTGTCTGAATCAGAGGCTGCATCCAGCAAAGACATTGCCTCATGGCAGCCCAAAAGGAAGACCAAGATGACCAAGATTGATTCAACCCGTTCAGCCACCAAGAAAAGCTTGAGTATACCAAATGACAAAGCAAGACCGGGTTTCGTCAAGGGCCAGGTGAGTGAAGTTTCAGCTGATGGGAAGAGCTTTTGGGTTCAACTTCCGAGCGGAAAAGGCTTTGAAGTTCATCGGAACCAGCAAGTGTTGCCTTGGCCTGAGCTCTTGGAGCAAGGCCGAAAGCGCTTGAGATGCGTACCTTGGAGCGCTTGAGTTCAGTAGTAGAAATGCCCTTCATGCCAGGAGCCCCTAGTAGTATCCTTGCTCCTAGTAGTAAGGCCAGGAGCCCCTAGTAGCGTCCTCTCCTTTCCTTTATCACGAAAGCCAGCCGGTAGGCTAGGCTTGAGACTCTGGAGCGAACGAAGTGAGTAGAGGGGGTGTGGGGGGGGTGGTTGCGTATGTGGTCACTTCCGGAGAGGTGAACCCAGAGCCTGGTGGGGGAGAGCGACAAAAAGAGGCGGGCCACTTGGTAGTGAAAATGAGTTGTGATGCCGGTGATGTAATTGACGGCCAGTAGTGCATCATCAGCTCAGGAGGCCATGTAACCTGTTCTTACTAGGGGTGGGAGTTCACGTCGATGAGAGGAAATGGAAGAGAAGGGGACGTGAAAAGTTGTTAGAAGTCATCGTAGACGTTAGAGCAGGAAAGAGAACAGATTGCAGTTGCGGGCAAGCATTGGAGGCGGAAGGTTTTGAGTTGCTTAGGGGTGTCCTGTTTTATCCGTGGCAAGGTCTAGTTGGTGGACTCAAAAGGGCACCCCATACGGGGAGTATCTAATCACGAAAGCCAGCCGTCAACTCACTTGAAACACAGACCAGCACACCATACCAAACCTTCCCCCGGACTACAGGGGTGCCCTTTTTCACCTCCACAGTGCCCCGACATCAAGACGAAAAAGGGCACCCCGTCCCAAACCTGTGTATTCTACGGCGATTCTACGGTCTATTTCCATTCTTTCTCGAATGACGGCCGTATCCACTTCACCACTTCCGGCTCCTCTTTGTCCACTCTACCTATATACATATGTGTCTCCTCACCATAGCTTGCCCATAGCCTCGCCCACTGATTCGCAACATGCCGCAGGCAAGCGCCCCTCACTTCCTTAGGGGTGCCCTTTTTCATCTCCAAAACGCCCCTGAGCCAGGACAAGAAAGGGCGCCCCCCTCCAAAGCTATGTGTTCTACTTTCTGTTTCTACCCCCTGTCAGTGTGGCTGCGATGTCAACTTCACCCCATCAAAGTGCTCTTTGCCCGATGTTAGACAATCACTTCATCTGCACGCTCAAGTGGCTGCAAAATATCAATTATCAACATTTCCGAGTACATCTTTGCCCAATGATTCGCAATACACAGCAGGCAAGCGCCCCTCGCTTCCTTCCAGGTGCCCTTTTTCACCTCCAAAACGCCGCTGAACAGAATTACGAAAAAGGGCACCCTATGGCCCTATGTATTCGACTTCCTGTTTCTACCCCCCTATCGAGGTGGTTGCGATGTGAACTTCACCCCATGCAAGCACTCTTTGCCCAATGTTACCCAATCACTTCATCATCTTGCACGCCAAGTCTTTGGCCAGGCTTGCCCTTACTAAAGGCACCCCCCTAACCCAGAGGCTGGCTTTCGTCCCCTCCCTTCTCAGGTATATGTATATATATATATAGATGGTTTTCTTTAGGCATTTTCTTGTCCGAATTGGTTTTGCATGTTACAATTTGTTGAGTGGTGCTTCAGTTCTCCGAAATAGGTATCTCAACAGGTTTTGCCGTTTTCTTTGTAATTTTTTTTGCAGGGAGTTGGTATAACATATACTATGCAATGTGTCCATCTAATCTACAATCTGAAGGACTTCGCAAGCGCGGAAACAACCAGACACAAAAAGATGAATGCAAACAAGAAAGAACCAGAGAACAAGAAAACGCCAAGCTCACAAAGCCAAGACAGATATCAAAACGCGAAGACGAAAAAAAAACACCGCGCAAACACTCCTAGTGGGTCGGTCATGTTGGAGTGCAATCCAGTTTGATTGGGAAGTGAAACTATCATGATATGCCTGACTTTTGTGCCCAAAAATTTGAAAAATAGAAAGGAACACAGAAAAGGTCTAGAGTCTAAAGGTCCAAAGCAAAAGCAGAAAGGAGGACAATCTATGTATGCTTCAGGATATTGGCAGCACCTCACAACACTAAAGACATCAGCGAATGGACAATCCTGCCAGGACAAAGACAAATTCATGCCGACATGCAAAGGAAGGAATGCGATAAAACAGGAAGGCAAACGACACATAACCGGACTGCAACAGGAAATGAACGAACAAGCTGAACAAAGGATACACTGCTGCAGCTGGCATTTGGCTGCAGCCAGTAAAGTCTGACTTAGTCTTGCCTGATACTGCGTCCCTCGTTGATTTTTGTGGCTTTTCCACAACATCAAATCCAGCAGGGGGAACTTCAGCCTTCCGTGTGCTCTTGGGACTGACCGCTGCTCCTGTGCAGGCCCCAAAAACTGAAGCATGATAGACATTGAGAGAAGCAAAAGCAAGGAAGGCTAACGTAACACAACATGAACAATCAAGAAGAACAAACGATTGAGCAAAAGAAGTTATCAAGCACCACAAATCATACAAGAAAGAAACGTGGAATGATGCGGCATTAAAACTATGACAGCAGCAAGTGAAAAAGTGAACCCCCCGAAGAAAACACTGAAGACACAAATGTGACAGAAGAAGAGCACAGAGATAAATACATGAAAAGAGTCAGGCCTCAACACTTCTAGAAGCATGCCAGAAACACAATTTAGAGACAAAAGGCATTAAAGCAATGCGATGTGAAATATATATATATATATACAACATGGCAATTCTGCCGTAGATTGTCGCTGCACTTCCCGAGGTGGATTGGGCGGCTCAAACAGAAGACCTTTGGGCTCAAAGCTCTGGTGGTTTTGAGCTTTCGCGCCCATTAGCTCGTGGCGAAGTGATTGATTTCTTTGTTTCGCATTCATGGTCAGATGCCAAGCTGAGAAGAGTGCGCTTTCCAAGTCTCAGATGTAAACTTGTGAGGTCATCGCGCTGTATGTCCTTTTGAATGGGCTGTTCTGCGCCGACCTTTCACCACAATGTTCCTGACTGCGCAAGGTAGAACCTAACAAAGCATCCATCAAGTAAGCTAAAAGAGAAGATTGTTTGTACTGGTACGAATAGTCCATCCATAAACCGTGCGCTCACAAAAGAATCTACTGGCCTGCCAGAGATCCGCACGCATATCGTCAGGCATTTTTGTTCTTGGGTTTAGGTCGTTTTGGGTTTGGTCTGACTCCTTCTTGTCTAAGGATCCACCCACACAAAAATGGAAAGCGCTTCAGCTGGTGGCAGAGAACTTCAAGCTGCAGCACGGGCGTGATCCAACATTCTGGGTGGACAAAGTCTGCATCGACCAGCGTCAAATTGCAGACGGTTTGAGGGTGTTGCCTGTAAATGTGATGGCATGCAGACAGGTGCTTGTCCTTTGTGGGCCAACATACCCGACACGACTTTGGTGCGCATGGGAACTATGTGTTTTATTTTCTTTTATGCCTGTGGCTCGGCATTAAGGATCAGAAAGGTAAAGACGGCCGTGATGTGTTATATTTACATATAGTTTCAGTTTTTATTTCTGCAGCTTTTCTCTTGCACTTTTTGTACAGAGGTGCAAGCAGCTTTGAATCAGCTCGTGGTCATTCCGCTGAGCCAGCCTGCACTTTTGGAATTGACAGGCTTCGATGTTTCGATTTCAAGTTGCTACGATCCGAACGAGGAGTTGCGCTTGCGCCATGTCATTGATGCGATTGGCACAAAGTTGTTTGAGTCGAAGATCCGTCAGCTGGGACAGCTGATTTTAGACCGAGAATTGACCAAGAGCAGAGGATTCTTGGTGGATGCGATCCTCAACGACACCGTCAACGACACCGTCAACGACGACACTGTCGGCAACGGTGGTACAAGCGGAGTAGATAGCCGAACTTTGGACTCGTCTGACCGAATCAGTGAGGGGTCCATTATAGAGATTTAATGTTTCACCCAAAATTCTCGTGTTCACGTGATTTGCATGTCATGTTTCTTTGCAATTTTGCTATTCTCATCATGAACTTGATTGGAGTGGCAGAGGTTGTGTCCACTGTGTCTTCTTGAACATGTTTCAACATGTTCCTGTTCTTGGTGCCTGACTACGAATGAAATCCGTGTGTCAGCTCTTAAGCTCGGTACCAACAAAATATTTTCTGCTTGACAGGAGTGCTCTCACTCTGCGAGGAAATGTTTCTTTTGCTGCTTTTGTCTGGATCTAGATTCTGTCCTTGAGAAAGCAACTAACTTAAGGTATTGCCAATGAGAACAACGTAGGGTTCTAGCAACCTGACTCCAAGAAGACCAGCCACCACAGCTTCAATAAGTGCGCAACGGGATAGCTGGCTAAATCTCTACCTGTACCTGTTGTTGTATACCGAAGCATCATGTGAAGGCTGTCGTTGGCACGACTGGGGAATGAACGTCCACCAAGCGAGAGCCTAGTAGGAAAACCATTCAGAATGACTTGAAGGATGATATGAGGCTGTAGGCTCGAGCGCTTCTTGGCCTTCAATTCAAGGAACAACAATGGCGGTAATCATGGTTCGATCAGCGGCTTAAGCAGCTGCCAGCAGAATTCACAAGGACTGGCAAATCAAGCTGCATACGCAGCTTTCTGCTGAGCGGCAACGTATCATGGCATTTGCTGCGACTTACACTTTCACAAATGGGGAAAGACACCCTCGAGTAAGAAACTTGCATTCGTCGTATTCTAAAGAAGAAACAATGGTTTTGGTCTATCAATGTCCAGTTTTCTTGTTTTCGGATGATCGACGGTGTTTCTTTTTTTTCACGCCTCTCATTCTGCTGTTTCTCATGGCTTCCGAGTTTGCACCTCTTATTGGCATTGCCTTCATGGGCTTCGCTTGCGTCCTGGCAGTGAAGCTGGAGCCACAGAGACAAGAAAGAGTTTTTTTTTAAACCAAAACGAGGTCCTGCGCATTTTCGTGAGGTAGAAAGAGCAGTTTTGACAGAATACTGCAAGCTTTGTGCAATGTTGGTCTTTTTTCGGAGTCTCCAAGTTTTTGCCATCGTAGATTTCACCACAGCTTCCCGCTGTTCCGTGATTGTTGAAAAACTATGAGACTATGAGGTTCTGGCCCAACTTCCTCAAGAACTATATCTTGGCAAAGGCATGATCTTCATGCTCTATTTGTCAAATATTCGTTCAAATGAGCCTTGCAATGTGCAGTCACTCGCAGATTGAATCAACATTCACTGTTCTTTAGAACGAGTAGACAAGTGACTGAATGAGGTACCACCAAAAGCTGAAGGTGCTAAGATTTCGGCTGCAGATGAGGCCGGGAAACCACGCTTGCAGATGAGGGCGAAACAGTTTTGCGCCTTTCTCCCAGCGTCTCCCCGCGGCTCGGACGGGAGCCGGGAGCACCCTTGTGCCACAGTGCGGTGAGCGCGGTAGTAGGAAACGCCTAGCTCTTGGTGAACTGCCTGGCATGGTGCAGGAAGATACAGACCGGTGGAACATGTGTGAGTACAAAGTTTTTGGCCGATTTAGGAAGAACATCAAACAGATCATGACAAGTTCTCACCATCAAACGAAGGATTCGAATCAAGCTGGTCACCGTTGGTTTGACCAACATGTTTTGATGATGAAATTAATTGCTCCCACTCACCAGGTTTGTAAAAGGGTTATGCAAGGGAAAGGAACAAAAACAATTCAAGATATGGACAATCGTAGCTGCTCCTCTAGCAAGCATTCAATGACAAAGCTAAATATATACTCAATCAAACAAGTTGCAACTTCCACCCCAAACAAAGCTTTCGTAGACGTTCTCAGCCAGTCTTCAATTTCCGTGGAAGACAGTTGTGGGTTGAGATTAGAATTGGCAAAGGGCAAAGCAAGCGCATCCACCTCATTATTTTGCTCAAGATTGGCAGACCCTTAATTCGCAGCGTGAAAATTTCGGTCGAGTGTGGAGGGTGGGGTTAAACTTTCTGTTGGAGAGTTGTTATACACAAGAGGAATCTGGAGCTGATTGGAAGTGGACTTCAGCAGTCGCTAGAGTCAAATTGATGCATACGAAGCCCAAAAGCTGGTCGTAGTTCTCTTTCTTTATGCCTCACCGATTTTCGCATTCTTGCATGCGGGACTGATCACGATTGTGAGCGAGAAAACAATTCACAACTCATGCATCTCAAACACATGCCGAAGCACGCCTGGCATGCCACCACCCGCCAACTTGTGATCATGCACAGAATCAGCGCAGCGGGATCCAACGTTACGAACTTGCCTTTTTTTGAGTTTCGTTAACAAAGATCGTTCTAGCGACAGGGCCGCTACTCTGATGGGGCCGCTGTGACATGTGCACACTGCCAGTGTGTGAGGCACTCTTTCTCTTCATGTTCGTCAGGGTCCTCAGCGTTTTGATTTTTACTTATCTACATTTATCTTCGAGACGTTCAATTCTATTGCAGGTTTGTGTCATTGGAGCAGACACTGCTGAGGCATTGCTCTTTGTCTATGCCACGATTACACACTTCTTGGGTACACATTTGTTTGGATCCAAGTCAAAACCTCTTCTTGTGTTCTTTGGTATTGCAAGATTGTTTGGTTCATATTCAAGGTGGGGATGCTTTATTGCGGGTATGTCCTTTGCATGCCTGGAGCCGCCACATCATGCGCATCATGTGCCCAGCCTTAGCTAGGAGGTTCCTACACAGAAGGGTCAAATTTATGCAGAGTAGCTTCTTGTTACTAGTAGTAAGGCACTTGTTACTAGTAGCGAGGCACTTGTTCCTAGTAGCGTTTGCAAATTTGTTTTGTTCGTCCTTTGGACCTTTCAACAAACACATTCATTCCTTTGCTATCCTTTGCTGCTTCACCTGTAAGCTGAACAGAAAAGGTGTGGGTGAAGCAGACGAAGAGGTTGACGTCGTGGATGATCCGTGTCAATCTTAGCACATCGCCTGCTGCCAAACACATATTTCAACTCCACCGTTTTTTCGTTTCCATTCGAGGCATTTTCTTCACGGGCACCGTAGCCTTTTCGATTCCTTTGCAGCAGCTCTTGTCCCTTGATGCTTTCTGGAAAGGACCGAGTTTTGCCCTTCAAGATGTTCACTTTCTTTTCGGGGAGGGAGGTAGGCCGAGAAGAGGTGGGGTAGCTAGTGCAAGAGATGTAGCTACTAGCTATCTTAAGCTACTACCTAGGACGCAGGATAGCACTCGCACTAGTGATTTGGTTTCTAGATTTTTAGGGAAACTTCATGTTCTAGGACGAGTCTACGAGCCTTTTCAAGATGTTCTTGATTTTGCTTTTCGGTGCTTCTCACCTTGTTTCTCTCCTTGTTTCAAGTCGTGCAGGCAGCATCATGGGCATTGTTGCTTGCATCGGAACCAAGGCAACGTACTTGGTCAGGAGTAACATGTCAGACCAGAAGGAATGTCTCAAGCACAGAGGAGCATCACGGTCGATAGCACTTTGCAAGAACTGGAAAGGAGTCTGTGCTTATTCCCAGCAAAGTGGGAATTGAAAGGTCATTTGCGCACCCTTCATGGGCAAAGCCAGATGGGTCATTGGATGGGCTATGGTTGGCAGAGCTGAGTTTGCGTCAAGCACTTAGGGACGAAAATGAACCAAATGAGCCAAATGAATAGTGCGAGCTATCTTGTGTCCAGTTACTAGAAGCTTAAGTAGCTAGGAGTGAAGAAGTGCAGGGCCGAGCGGGCTCAAGAAAGAAAAATCAGCCTTCTGGCGCCTTTCGGCCTGAGGTATTTGATTGCGCAGATGGCTCTCTCCAGTGGAATGATGGACCCAGGGTAGCTTGCTCAGTCAGACTTGTGAAGCCCAAACTGCGAGTAGCAGAGCCACCATATGTCAATGTGCATGATCACAGATGTATCACCTACGTATTTTGGCTCAAGCCGCAAGGAAAAAGGAGCTCATTTATGGTCGACCGCGCCATTTACGAACTCACAGGTGATCAGCCGTATCGTTCTACTACGAGCTGAGCCACGAACATTGGAAGAGGGTATCCTACCAAGGACTGGCAAATGCCTTTGTTCCTTGACGGCTTACCTCCTACGATGTCTGGCTCGGAAGAAATGAGTGGAACAGCTTTTTCGTTTGCTGTCCTGGGTGCTACCTCACAGTCTACACCCACAGTCTACACCCGACTCGCAGATGAATGTGTGTGCTGACTCCCAGGGCGAATCTATCCCTACAATGCCTACAGGTTCCCAAGTGCATGGACAAGGAGCCATTGAGGATGCGCCAATGCCCCCAAGGGTAGCAAGGGCGAAACATCTACCTGTAGCGAGAGTGCCAAGACCAAGGAATGCGTCGAGATCTACATCTCCAAGAGCCACGCTTTCACTATCAAGAGGGAAAAGAAAGTTTTCAAGACAAAGCGTCAGCGAAAGGTCTTTGGCACAAAAGCGGCTCCTGCGCAAGATCCGCAAGCAGAGCCAAAGCCAAAGCCGAAGGCCAAGGCGTCGCTCGCTATTGGTGACTGCGTGTCAGCTGAGGATTCTGATGGTGATTTTGCAACGTGCAGGATTTGTTAAGCCTGGAACTAGCTGGTTGAGATGCCCCTTGAATCTAGCAGGGTGTGGAAACAAGCCACGAGAAGATCACTGCGACCTCCAGGGAACGAAGAAGGAAGAACAGAGCAGTTTAGATGCGCTGAGAGCATAGGCATGAGCAATCTTAATAAAGCCGTTGAATGACATCAAGGAGGTCCTCTGCAATCCCTTCTTGGAATGACTCCTTTCTTGCATGATGGGTATCAAACGCTCTATGGACTCTAAGCGATTCGTGTGGCGGTAGAATTCGACGTGTGTCAGGGAAAATTCCGGCTGGTTCAAGTTCCATCCGCCATGGCCTGTCGCAGCGTGGCAGCGCGCACTCTGCTCCTTATCTTCTTCAACCCAGCCAGATGCTTCATAGAACTGACGACGTCTTTGATTTCCTTTTCCATTGTTGGATACGCGCATATCGCGGCAGTGTACCTGTCTCTCACCACAAAGAAATCTCATTCTCTTTCTGTGAATGTGCCACTCTCTGTGCATCGACGAAGTCAAAAGGAACAAGTTCCCCGAAGTGTCCGAGGTGTCTCTTGAACGCTCCTCTGCTCCTCTGTGTAACTGGTAGTGTTTCATCTTTTGTTCTAACGCAGGATTCACAACAGGCGGTCCTGCCTTCGGACTCATTGTTCCTCTTGAGCTATTCTACTCGCTACTTCGACCACACCCACTTCAATCTCATCATCGTCGCCCTCATGAATGATCACCGTCTTCTTTACTTCTTGCTTCCCTTTCTGCGCCGGGATCTTTCCTCGTCCTCGCCTGGCGCTGCTGGTTCTTGCTTCTTCTTCTTCTTCTTCTTCGTCTTTTCTTTCTCTTCACGATGTGGCCCTCTTCGTTCATTGGAGTTCCTTGATGCGTATCATCCTGATGATCTGGTGTTGCAACTTTTTCATATTCACATTGCGGTCATGGGTACTCACCTGTCGACAACGTGAGCTGAGATGCCTTGTGAGGTTCTAGATCTTCTTTCGGCTTCAACGCAGCTCGCTTTCTTTGACAAGGTGCGGGATGTTGCCCTCAACTTGAATCAGGGTCAATCCTCTTCCCTTACGAAGGTGTAGCCTTCTTCCAGGCCCAGGCAATGCTGATGGTGTCCCATCACGCACGAATGAGTTACTCTTGACGCCAACGTGAAGAAAGAACAATCCTACACGAGGAAACCGCAACGATGGGCATCGAAGTTGATGATGAACGAACCCAACTGGAATCCCTGATAGGAGAGCGTCACGAGCCAAGCAAGCCAATCGTTCTTGGACAGAAGGCAAGTGATGGAAGATCACGCAGAAAATGACGGATATGATGTTCCTGGGCAAGAAGAAACAGGTGAAGAAGGCAATGCATCTTTGCAGAGTATTCAAGCAGATGCCAAGGGACAGCCAAGACCAACTGTCACAGAACACATGCTGTTGGCAGTGCGCGCAGATATGAATTGAGTCGGTGGCAAGCTCAATCGTGGGCCGCTACACCATGATTGGACTTTTCTTCAGTGCCACCCGCAGGCGCTGTACTATAAAAACACGGTGGCAAAACTTTCAAACAAAATCTTCAAACGCAAGCGAGATGATACCTTGGGCAAGTGCGCCCGAGCCTTTCTGGGCACAGACGAGAACGGTGACTACAAGAAGGACGCCCGCGGGGAGGAAATCTAGTGCAGCGACTTGATTAAAGTGACGTGCCTCTTTTTTCGAGGACTCACTGGGATCGTGCATCGTTAGCTCTAGCTGAGCTTCAAAGATCTTCACCAAAGGTACCTCAAGAAAGAAATCACTAAAGAAGAGTACCACACACGTAACGTGGAAAAGAATGTCTGGAAGTGGAGAAATCCATCAGAGCAGCGTTTGGAAGTGAAACCTAGTCATACTTTAACAATGAAGAGCAGGACACAGAATGCGCGCGTGCATCAATCCATTGCATGTTGTTTTCAGCCCTTTGAATCATTGGGATGCAGCGAGCAATTGAGAAACATTGAGCGTGGCCGCGTTCCCTCACACCATTTCAGGCAGATGCTGTCTAATGAAGCCTTCGGAAAGATAGCGAAGGAGAAGTCCACAGTTCTGCAGAAGAAGACTAACTGCTCGCGTAGCGACATGCCGTGCAGCGGCATCATACATCCTTGTATACACAGTTGCAATCCGCCTCAATTTGTCAATGCGCAGCTGTGATCAGCATTGCAGATGTATCACCTACGTATTTTGGCTCAAGTCACAAGGAAATAGGAACACATTTGTGGTCGACCGTGCCGGTTACGAATGCGCGCAAATGCATATGCCCTATGGTCCTGTGGGTATCTTTTGCCACTATGCCGCGTCGCCTATGCGTGTGCGTCTATTTTTTTTTGAGGACCTTCTCCGTTGTGATCTGGGCTTTGCTGTATGCAACCCTGGCATGGCTTACCACAGCTTCGAAGTTTCTTGGATGCCGAGCTTGCCCTTGCTCGGAGGCCACCATTTTCGCCCCATTTGTCTTCCGCTTCCTGCTGAACCGCTATGTGGCATCTGAGGGTCTGGGAGAGGCAGGGTCCAGCTGACAAGTGACACGCATTTGTGGTACAAAAACATGTTTCGATGTATTTTCAAAAGAACGAAAGCGCGAGAGACTGAGAATAACAGAACATGTGACATTTCTCAGAACAAATCAATTCATTTTCTTAACGTTCGAACCGCCTCCATTCCATTCATTCCGCATTCGAGTGCGAGTGCAGTGTCTCAGGGGGGGCAGCGGGAACGGGTTTCTCTGACTCGTTGGAATCTTACGGGACTGGACCGCAGTTGTATTCTCAAACAAATTCTCAAATATTTTTGATCGAAACCCGTTTACCTTCGTTTCCATCACTTTTTCTTACCGTCTCTTTCAAGACCCTTCTATGCTAGCAGGTCTTGGACTCTATACCCCCAAATGACACCGCTTCTTTGAGCAGAAACTTGTTAGTTCCTACTTTTTTGTTTTTCTCGCACTTGGCGCTCACCTTTTCAAGGGCAAACTGGGTTTTGACCATCAGCAATTGCTTGACTGAACCAAGGGATTCTTCCTTGTATGACGAAAAGGATGAGCAGAGGCCTGAGAACTCCAAGTCCGGTTCCAACAACACCTGTTTTGGACGAATACCAAGTATGAAACGTGAAACCTATCATTCTTTTACCATTAAGCACATTTGTTTACTATGTTTTTTTTAGAGGTAGAGTAGAGCAACTGACTACCCAGTAGCTTCTCTATTTTGTGATGGCTTTTGAAAGAGACCAAGGACTGCAAAGGACAAAGACTTGGAGGCGCAGAATGGAGCTCTTTCAGAATCTCGTGGACAAGAGCATTGAAGAAAGTTGAAGATGTTCCAAAAGAGAACTGGACACGTGTTGATTCTTGTCTTGGCGCTGCTTTTTGTGTCATCAAGTTGTCAAGAGTGTGTTGGGCCCAACTTTAGTTGCTAATGATAGCGCCTCTCCTTAGCTGCTAGGCTCTCCGTAGGCTTGGATAAAACTACCGCTCCTAGCAACGAGAACACTTTCTGACAAAATGCAAAGCTGACGTCGGCCTTGTGTGAGGGCATTGATGTGGCTGGAGCCTTGAAGAATAAACCCACGGAGTGCCCTTGCCTGCTTGTGGACACCCCTCAGACAAGTGCATGGTGGATGATGTGTTGTGAATATTGTTAGAGGTACGGCCAATCTAGCCCTGGAGGTGCTTCTTGGCTGACACCGTTGTATTGAACTCGATGTTTACTGTTTTGCACATGCTTCGTTGCTCGGTGTCAAGACTCAGCTTAATCTTTGTGGCTAAGGAAATGAAGGCCCTGTCCCACATGCACAATGCAGAGACAGGGAATACATGGGAGAATAAGCTTTGTACAAGAATGCTCACATCTGGCAGGCTGTTGATGCAAAGACCGTGAGAAACCTGGATGACAAAGGCCTGGGCGATGGCGCATATTTTGAAGACCTGCACTGCATTCCAACTAAAGTTCTTTGCCCAAACTGAACCTCCACAGCTATCAAGACTATCAAGGACAGCTTACCATCATATATACTTGGATTGGGAGAAGGCTTTTGATAAGGCAACATGACAAACTGTACATAATGTTGCACAGACTCGGGAGTAACGAACATTTTTCTGAGGCCACAAAACTGTTACAGCAACCAAGAAGATAAGTTTAGGAAATCGTCCAGAAAGCCGATCTTTATCGCCAAAATTGATCACAATCGTTCGTCTTAATACGATGTAATGAGTGTTATAGACAGTGTAACCTGTCGACTTGACAGATACACTTTGGAAGCCAGGCAGCCAGGTGCTCGCTTCGAAATCAACAATCTATTATGCAGACGAAACTGTGCTCATTGCAACCGATACATATGCTCCAAACAGAATACTCTGGGCTGTAGAATGTACTCGTTGCACGTTGGACTTCGGACAAATAGGGACAGTATTCATATGTTGCCATAAATGGGAACAATGTAGTTGGATTTGTGGATGGAACCATACTAATATAGGTGCTCTGAAACAACCTACTTTGAACATCACGCAATCTCTCAATATACGGCAGGGAGTCTGACCGACAATGTGGTCAAAACTGAAGCGAGCGAGAAAGGGGGTTGAATGAAGAGAGGTTAGAAACCACAAGCTTGGGTCAGCGGGTAAGTGGGTCCGCTCAACCAGCTTCGGTTCTGGCTGTCGTCACTACCTTCTCAGGTTGTTTGTAATCTCTTGCTTCGCCTTCTACTCTCCATGCCAGGCAAGGGCGGCTTCCTTTGCTGCCTTTTCTTCAAGAAGGTCTTCCGAGTGTTTAGAAATTCTCTTGCAAGAAAGGCAAAGGAGTTTTGCCGAGTCAAACAAGTCTGCTGCCGCGATTCTTTCAATGTGGAAACCACACTTTCAGCAAGATGGCTTTCCTATGCTTTCCTGATGTATTCGACACAATTTCTGAGCAGATGGTTGTTCACTGACTTCTCCAACTCCGGCTGTATGAGTGACTAGTGAGCTTGGAATTGTGCCAGCGTGTCTGGGCACAGTCAGTCTTTTTCCGCTTTACTTGAGTGGGACGTTTCGCGATGTGTATATTCAATTGTGAATCAGTTCAATTCCAATAAAGCCTGAGGGAAACGTCACCACTTAGGGCGAGTCCTCAAGGGAGTCCCAAGGAAGCGGCATGTTTACAGTTACTGTATGTCATTTTTGTAGTTTCTGTTGAAATGCTGCTTGCCGGTCCTTGGCCTACACATGGTTCTTACAGGTTCTTCACTTCTGCAAGAACGATTCACTTCCTTCGCACGTCCTTTTTGGGAAGCATGGTCAAGCTCTTCAAAGCATTGCCATTTGCGTATGCTGCTTTTCAAAAGGCTGAGGTGTTTCACGAGCCATGTCGCACAGGCTCCAAATACTTTCAATCGGATGCCGTCTCAAAGAGGGACTTAGCATAGCTTTGCCTTGTCATTGCGCTAAGCAGCATCCATAGAGGCGACAATCGCCTGCATTTTCTCCAGCGCTTCATTGGCTGATTACGAATTGAGCAAGTTGAAGATCTAACGTCTATACTTAAGAAACACATCATTTTTAAAAAACCAATCTTGTTTAACATTGATCTTCTCCTTCTCTCATCTATTTCCCTTCAAAAAACCACTGAGTCTTTCTTCGCCAGTGAAGCCTTTGCGGGACATCTTGATGATGAGCCGTTTTGAGCTCCTGTGGCTCGCCACAGAGCTGTGAAGCCACTTTCAAAGCCCGTTGTCAAGAAGCGGAAGGAAAGCTAGAGCACGAAATCCTTAAAGGCATGCAGCTGCGCGTAAGACAGGATGCTTGAGACAAGATACAATTGACCTAATTCTTCCGCATCCACCTTTCCTTTAAAGTTTGACTTGCAGGTATCGTGCACATTCTTCAAAATTCCACACACACACACATGCACATCTTAAATCTCATCAAGTGGAAGAGAATAGAGTGTCACTGCTGCCATCATATTACATCAAGCAATCAAAGAACACCTTGTCAAAGCCCAAGAGCCCATGGGTAAGCCTTAGGTCTTGGACATAACGGTAAATATGAAAACTGTGAAACAAAACTGATATTCTTTAGACCTATCAAATCTCCTCTCTTTCTTAGCAAGTCTCCTCGGAGACCAGACTCTTGTCCTTGGGTTTTGAGCGAGTGCTTCACATGCTGCACCCAAAAGGGAGGCAAACTTAGACCTTTCAACGGGAGGAAAAAGATCAGGGTCCTGATGTGGATCGTCCAAAAGCTTTTTGGGCTAAACACGGATTTAGGACAGGAACTTGTGATTGCTGTCAGGAGCACGCCTCAAGGATTTCTCTTTGACAAGTGGCACATGTGAATATAAAGAAGTCCAAGAGTCCTCAAAGTGCAATTGTGTGTTCCCATGTTTAAGGTAGTTTTGGTATCGGACACTGTACACTGTAGTACGAGCACGAGGCAAAGAAAGAGACACACACAGCACAGTTTCTTTTGTGGCTTCCAATACAAGCTGAGTCTTAGAGGGTAGGCAGTAACTAGAGACAGGTAAGATGCGAGAAGGAAGTGTGCTAGAGCACAACTCAATTCAGCCATGGCATTTGCATGTCAGAGTGCAAGGCGCATGAGGACAACAATAAGACTATCCGAGCTGACCCTTTTGTACTATCTTCTAAGGCTTTGATCTCTGCGACGGTCTTCAAGAGCTTCAGTTCGTGCCAATTTGTCTCTTCAGAATCACTGGGACTGCAAGGAGTTTCTCGTGGTACCTTCTCCGGCTTCGAGCACCGAAGGATGGACAGTTTCAAAGCACCTGTGGACTGGATAAGGACAAATAATGAAGACTCTTATTATGATATGTCCACTATCTCAGCAAGCAAGAGAGACAGTGTCTTGCTCAGGAAATATCGGCTCGAGTGCAGCTACATGTCCTTGAGCCTCCCTGGACTAGTGAGCTCATGTGGGCTTGGCATTCACCGTCCTGTGGAGGAATCAGCCTGGTGCTGGCTGTGCTCTTGGCCTTGGTTGGTTGCATCCTAGGCTGCTGCTGTGGTGCTACCTTCATCATCCTCGTTGTGCGCAGGTGCCAGGGTGGCCTCAGCTTTAGTTCAAGCTGCCGTGGCGGCTCAGACCCTGAGGTTGAGGAATTGGCCATCTCGGTCGGCGACCTTCAGGGGCCAGCCCTGGAATGCCCTGGGTGTGACCGAGGGCCGCTGGATCTCCGGACAAGGTGCGGGCGGCCGATCTATGACTCACTTGTGCTCTCGCATCCGCTCCTTCGGCCATTTGGAGACCCTGTGTGTCAAACGGAACTCGCTGAGGAGAAGGCCGACCAGCCAGCCTCCGAGCTTGACCCTGAGAAGGCGCCGCGGCCTGTAGCTTTTCCTTTCGCCTTTGTGGAGATGTTTTTGGCTAAGCGGCTAGAGCGCAATTCATGTCGCAGCTTGGACTTCACGCTTTGCCAGCTAGTCGACATGGACTTGACTGCCTATACTTTCAGCTTGGATCGAAGCAGCCGTTTGGTTTCGACGTGACAGGCCTCAGACCGGAGTTGGGAATTTCATCTTGAGCTCTCGTATGGCTGTCCTTATTCTTCCATAGATTGAAGTTTTTGCTTGCGCTCCTTAGGCTTTGAGAGCGCTTTCTGGAAGTGTGCGTGGGCTTTCCTTTGGGATACACTCGGCAATGGGTCCCTAAGTTTGAACGGCGCGGGCAGCACTATGACGACGTCAGACTTAGCCTTATTGGAAGCTCCTGGCATGTGGGAGTAGTGGTGTGGTTATTGGCTCAACTCTGCAGCACCTTGCGGTTGCATGGCTCTACTTCAAGCGCTCCTGGGGGACACCACAGTGCACCTCCTGGCGGTGAAGTGCAGCTTTTTAAGAAATGTCTCGGCTTAACCTCAGGTAGAGGGGAGGACATGATGGTGCAACCCCCCCTTAGACCCCCGGTGTCAAATGGAAGCTTTGGAGGACCAGAAGGTGGGGGTTCGTTTCCTACATCTTGCAGATAGCTTGGTCTGTCTCCATGCTCTCACTCGAGGGCAGAGCTCTACCCAGCGTCTCAGGCCCATTATGAGGCAACTTTGCGCTTGCATCCTTCCCCTCTCAGCGTACATCCACACGTATCAGAACCCCGCGGACTAGCGCGCGGCCGGTCCGGAAGAAATGGGCGAAGTAGGCCGACAGGTTTTTGAACGTCGCAGCAAGGAACAGGGTAAGCAACAGAGGCAAGCCTTGGACGCTTTACGTTCTCTCACTTTCCACGACAAAACACACCAGCGGTATCTCAAGGCACGCAATCTCTTCTGTGACTTCCTGACAGAAAATTGGTTGAAACTACCCACAAGGCGTGAGGCTTTAGACACACTTGTGGCCGAATATGTGGAGTTTGTCTGGCAAGAAAGAGAGGGTCGCGCATTAGCTTTGGATACGGTAGCAGGGCTGCAAGATGCCGATCCCAAGCTAAAGGGTCATCTCCAATTGACCTGGCGCCTGTTGAAAACATAGCGCGCTAAGTGCCGAACAGGGCGACCCTCTCACTGAAGACGCTCTTGTTGCAACGGTGGGCCGGTGATTTTTTCACTTGGTTTTGCAGTCGCGCTACTCGTGGGGTATTACGCCATGTTAGGGACTAGTGAGTTGCTACACCTACAGAACAGCCACATTTTTATGAAAGGCCCTTCTTCCCAGCAGTGCTATCCTTGAGTCACCCTCACTTCGAGCCATGCCTTGCGCTGGCTCTGGTTATGGAAACAAGGCAACCCTCCACGTGCATTCATTGTTTGCTACCTTGGACCCTGCTTGCAGCTTACATTGTTTGCGAAGGGGGGAGCCACTTTCTGGTTTCGCAAACATGGGAGTTTTGACAAACTCCTGGTCTCTGGCCGATGGCAGGCGGCTAGAACCGTCAGGATCTACATCAATGAAAGCATGGCAGTTTTAGCTGAGTTGCAACTTCCACGTAAGAGTTTGATGCCTTTTCTTTTTCTGGGGTTGTGTGTGTTTCACACCCAACATAATCCACTACCACCCTTGAGCACGCGCAAGCGCAGAAAAGGGGGGCGTGGATAAGAAGAATTTGAGCAAATTTAAAGCACCCTTTTGCGGCTTTTTTCTATTTAAAACCGCCGGCCAATCGCTTTCGGTTAGGCAGGAGGCTTTGGAAGGTGAACAAAGGGGTGCATCTTTTCTTCTGGTTAGGCGGGGCTCTGATGTTTGGCGCCCATACAGGCTGCCTATGAGAGGCAGAGATTACCCAGTCGTGGAGGGACTGCTACTTCTATGCTACTTCAACTTAGCTTTTTTTTTGGGTATATATACATATATATATAAGCATCTATATACACCATTCTTTATAGATCCCCACTTGCCAGGTGAGGGTCGTGAGGTTGTGAGATTTGATCAGAGCTGTCCTCCTCCTCCTCCCAGGTCACAGTGGACACGGTTGGCGCTCAGCCAAGTGCAAGATCGCAGTGCGCACCACTGGGCCTCAACCACGGGTGCCAGCTCGCAGTGGGCGCCGCAGAACCCAACCGCGAGTGTCGTGATAGATCGTAGAGGGCGCTGGGCCTCAACCGCAAGCGCTTGATCGCAGTGGGTGCCGCCAGGCGTCAACTGCGAGCGCTAGGTCGCTGTGGGCACCACCGGGCATCAACCACGAGTGCAGTGGGCGCAGCCGGAAGTCGAGCGCTAGAGTGATGTGTGGGGGCCCTGAACCAGAAAAAATGTCAGCAGCTATGCCAGATAGAATGCCAGGATATATGTCCGGTAGAACCCCAGCAAAAATATGCCAGATATGCTGATATGCCATGAAATTTTATATGGAAAAAATGTCAGAATAGATGTCCGAAGAATGCCAGACAAAATTCCACATAGAATGCCAGATGCCATGCCAGATAGAATGCCGGAATGTCTGCCAGAAAAACATGTTAGGATCAATGCCAACCTATTGTCAGAAAATATGTCAGATAGAGTGCCCGGAATATGCACCAGATAGAATGCCAACATATATGTCAGAATGCCAGAGTTTATGCCAGAATTTATGCCAGATAGAATGCCATTGTTGAAGCAATATAGTCAGCGGTTATCAGTAGAATGTAATACCGTGGTGGGGGCCACTCGAAGTAAAGTAATTTGTGTTTAACTTTACTTGCGTGTATATACTGAAACTACAGTGTTCTTTTAGTTTCAGGGTGGAATTTGTGAGGACCCCGCGGCCTGGTGTCGTACACGCATGCTGGGCAGCATCCCTCCGGTGCAGGAGGAGTCGGTGAAAAGGAAAGGAAACAAAAAAGACATGGAAGAGATCAGTGACGTTGTCATGCGGTACAAGAGGAAGGTGAGCAAGAGGAAAGGGATGGAAACGTTATTGGAGTGTGTAGCGTTGCATTATTGTTCGTAGTAGTCTGATCCACTTGGCCTGAAGGCATTTAGGTTGTTTTCGTCATGAAGCATTTGAGTGAGTTCAACATTTCATAGTGCACCCGGCAGTCTGGCAACAACTTTGTGGACTTGCCCACTCTTGTGAAGCAGCTTTGCACGGTCCCCAAAATTGACCAAGGCTGAGAGTGCTTCTTTTCACAGTTTGTGTGAAAGAGACTATCAATGAGGCATTCAATAGTGATTGCATAGTGCTTGCACCTAGCCTTGTTTGGAGCAGCAATCGAAAGATCCCACTATGGGTAGAGGGACTTCTTTAGGCCTAGCATCAAGTTAAGGGAAGACGTGTTTTTCAGGTCCGACAGCTTGGGTGAGAATTCTTCCTTTTTCCTTTCAAGGTGGCTGTTCAACTTAGGAGTGCTGAGGCCAGGGCTAGAAGCATGATATAGCTTGTGCAACCGAAAATGAATCCACTTGATAGTCCTCTGGCACCACCCTGCGAAGCACAGAGTGCTGACACATTCGGAGCGACCAGTCCAACATCACGAAGCCGTACAAAGGCGTACTAGTAGCAAGGACGCTATCAGGTGGAGGCCATCGCTACTAGTGACAAGAAGCTATGAGCTGTAATCAGGGTGGAGGTAATTTCCAGAGATCAGAGTGGTAATTTCCGTTGAATCGCTGTGGTGAAGCGACACCACGGCACCACGGGCCATGATGCCGCGCTGTCTTGTGTCACCAAACCAACTTGAACTCTGTCGTTTATACATTTTATACCTGCCTCATCCAGACACGTCTTCACTTTCAGATGGCCAGCTTGAGGCAAAGTAAAGCTAAGCTGCACCATGTCATTGTGACCTCAGCAATTCGGATTTAGTGCTTTCCCTCTCTGAATCTCCACAGCAGCTGGTCGGAGTTTGGGTTAAACTGCGTCTGCCGTCAGATGTCATATGACTCAGCTTCAGCGCTGAGGGTTTCGCCCTGCATTCAGCCCACTTTGCCCATGGAATTGATATGTTTGTTGCATGTAGGAGGTTAAACTTTCGGTGTACACCACACAGGGGTCAGTTGAACGCGACAAGTTCAATAAGGAATCGATGATTGCCCAACCAAGCACGATCAATACAATGACCTAGTGACTCTGATGCTGCATACGCTCTACGCTTGAGGTGATGAGTTGCCTCCGCATCCAGCAGTCGGTGCCCCGATCAATGGAGCCGTTGTGGCCAGAGTGAAAGAGGCTCGTGACTTTCCTGGAACAAGCTGAACTTTGAACAAGCTGGACTCGTTCCAACTTTTTCCTATATATGTTCTTTGCTTTGCAGGTTCTGCAACAAACGCGGCTCAACCCACGGGAGTGGCAGCAGCATGCAGTCTTTCGCCGCGGTCGCTACACCAGGTGCACTGGAAATCTGGAGGTGATGTCTTTGTGATGAGAAAAGCACATGCCATTTGCAAATCTTTGTTTTTTGCAGTTTCAGAGGAACATTGTTGGCTATTCACCGAATCAGTTCATCGCGCTGAGCACAGACTTCAAGATATTTGATGCCTTTATCTTTAACTCTTAAGATGGCGCTTGTGAAGATTAATCGTGTTGTTGCTTTGTGGTTGAAGTTTATGTTTGATTTCTTGACAAAAGGAGTTGCTGCATTTCTTTACTGAAGGCTCTGCTGCTATGCTGGGAGAAGGGGCAACAGAGCCCGATCCATGATCATTCAGGTTTTCACAGTGTTTCGCATATGTCGTGACTTTGAAACTTTTGACACGAGCCTCTCACAGGTGCTCATTGCTTCATAAAGATGCTCAGCGGTAGGATCCGGGCAGCACGGTTGCAAAGGAAGGGAATCGTATAATATAATGTATGAGTCGTATGAGTTCAAAAAGGTGAATAGAAAGAAAGAACGATACCTGATAGCGATGGCCTGCAACCTAGAAGTGATGGCCTCCAAAAGGGTAAGTAGAATAGGTAAGTGCAAACAACGTGGCACCAATTGGCGCCATGTGACGAAGTTCTGACACTTGTGGAATTGCTTTGGGTCGGTGCCAAGTAAGGAGAGGAAATTTGCCTGGGCAGCAGATGGCACTGTTGGCCCAGAGGCTGTAACACGCTTAGCCAGATTTCACTAATTTGATGCTGTTTTCAAGGGAACTAGCAAGGCAGGCGTTGGAGGCATTGAGTTGGCATCGAGCCACTTTCAAGGCTGAGGATCCTGGGTTGCTCGATGCCTCCAAGCCAGAGCAGAGTGTTTGGCACTTTGAGGGGTTTGCAAAGAGCCATCAAATGTGTACGTTCATTCAGTGTACATTCATTCATGTCACGACATGCCATTACATCAAATGTGTACGGAACTGAACGCGGGGTCAGTTGTGAAAACGGGACAATATTGTGCAAAATATGAGATGCAGCTTTGGAAACTGAAGCAATTGCATTTCTCTCCAAAAGCAATCATTTAGTCATTTTTGTAAACCCAAAGCACATCTTGGATTCTTTTGAACCATGCACGTTCAACATCGAACCACATTTCGGGTCGACCATGCCCAATGAACCGTTGTATAAGTACTTGTATATAAAGGGTGCAGCGCCAACGTGTCATGTCGAGTCGTGTGGAGTCACCAAAATCTGCTGAGTCGGTAATTGTTCTATATTTTAGTAGCGTCCTTGCTCCTAGTAGCGATGCCAGGAGCCCCTAGTAGCCTCTTGTTCCTAGTAGCGATGCCCTTTGCTCCTAGTAGCTTCTTGTTCCTAGTAGATGTTCTTTTTTTTCCTCTAACAAAATGTTTGATAACTAATTAAGCACCGAAAGTGAACACGATTTGGGGCACAATTGGCATCATTGTTTGGACCTATATAGCGAAGACCATTGCAGAACGCAGTGTTTAGACATCCTTTGGAATCGGTGGGGCAGATGTCCTGTTCAGTCCGGTGATCAACTGGTCACGTATTTTTATGTCTTTGCAAAGGCAGAACCTGGTAGACTTTCGTATACTGTGGTAGTTTCTTGATCATAGATCCCAAATCCTCCATGCTGAGGGTCCCACGAATTTTCTGCTTGGGGTTTCATGGAGTTTCAGTTTCACTTGCTTCACAGTTTCAGCTCTCTTGCTTGGCAGATTTGACAACATCTAGAAGATTTGAAAACATCAGATCTAGTCAGCACTGCTCGGCACTCAAAACAAAGAAGTCTGAGTGACGGTGACGTCTTGCGGACTTGCTGTCATGCATCTAAAAACATACTCTACATTGCATTTTTTCACTTAGTTCAGCAAGGATCCAAAAGTGTTCAAGCATCAAACTGGACTTCTTTGACTAGTGCAACCACATGGCAGCAGATGTCTCTCAGCAGACTGACTCGTGGCTTCCGCATGAAGAGGTCGCTTCAAGTCAACTTGTGCACTTTGAGCGGCTGAGTCTTTATAGACTCTGACTCTGAGCTGTTTGTGAACAGGATGAAATCGACGAAAGCCTGTCAGATACCTCTGTGTGGCTCTCCTGGCTGAGAGAAGATGAGCCTGGGCTGAAAGTGAACGCATAAGCGTGTAAGAATTACATTACCCACGAGCTGACCACTTTCTCACCAGCTCAGGTCAAAGTTCAGGGTTTCGCGTGGTTGCTTGCTTCCATGGCAGTATGGAGGCTAGCTCATGAGAACTTCATGAGGACCCAGCTGCTGGTTATCCATTCGCTTGAGACATCTTCCCGTGTGTGCGCCAGATCCGCCTTGACAGACGAGTCGATTTGCTTGGGCTTGGCTGGGTATATCTTTGACAGCGGTAAGTGGCACTGTCCCTTGTTTGAGTTTGCTTGAACAACTCTGAGCTGAAATTGGTCTCCAAACCTACCAAGCAACGATGAAGGCACTTACTTTGCCAAGGCATGGTTGGATGGTGCTTGGCTACGTTGCTCACTTTGGCCTGGCTTTTCTTTGATCTACAGATGGTATTTACCTCTGAGCCCCGGAAAAATGAGCTGTGCGACAAGTGCTGCTTCTATGCGAAGTTGACTTGTCAGCTCAGGAGCAGAGAGCAATGAGATTTCCGCCTTGGAGCATTCTGGTGTGCCTTGGAGTTTGGAGAGTTTGCCTTAGGATTTTCCTTTGCTTAGGATTTTCCTAAGGTTTGTGAAGCACCCCGCAGAAGTGGGGCTACTTGACTGATTTAGTGCTCTGATATGCAAAGCCACAGAGTAATTTGTGGCTTTTTTCTTCGTCCAAACCCAAGAGGTCGGTGGTGATCTTCCTCGGTTATGATGGGCGAAGCTACGTCCGTCGAGTGAAGGCCATTAACGATTTGCTTGGACTCCACTATTCTTTGAAGCCGTTCTTCAAGAGAGAGGTTTGCTCTACATTCAAACATTTAGTCTTACTGTCGCCTATTTTTGCAGGCCATTCACGAAGGTGGCCCTGCCCTTCAAACAGCCTCTCGGACCAACCTGAAACTCTAACCATGGAAAGGCATTTTGTGACGAGAGCTTTGGAGAAGTGGGGGGTTTCGAAGAAGCTTCCAAAAGGGCAAAGCAGCTAAGCTAAGCTTAAGCTATCCAAATTTCGAAGATTCTTCAAGGAAGCTTCCCCCGCCATGAGGGCCTCCAACCTACTATCTTACTTAGTCTTACTTGCTTACCATTGCTGACCATTGCTTACCTAACCCTACATTCACTGCCAGCTTCAGGGCCTACCCCTTCGAATATCGGAGAATCCAAACAGTGTGAAGTCGAAAAGGCGAACAAGAGAAGGAAGCTACTAGTAACAAGTGCCATGCTAGTAGTAACAAGTGCCTTACTAGTAGTAACAATGTTTGCTACTAGTAACAAGTGCCTTACTACTAGTAACAATAAGAATTTAATTAGAATTGTAACAACCAAACTCGCCCAGTGAGTTCTTTTCTCGCTCGAATCGAAAAGAGCTTCAAGTTCGTCCACACCCTCAACAACTTCACAAATCAAGCTCAAATGACAAGCTCGAACGACATGTGGTAGGGTTTCTGCTCTCCCCCCCCACGCTAGGCTTGGGATTATGAAACCCCTTGCAAAAGCCATCAGTGCTCTTTTCACACCTGAAAGAAACACATTGAAAATTCCAAGCTCAAGCCCTCTTCACTTTCAGTGAACATGCGTGACATCGAGCAACAGGATCTAAGGTGCAAAGCTAAACTAAGGCCCAACCATATTCCCCAGCGAATCAAAGGCAAGCCAGCAAGCTCCTTTCCACTTCCCGCAGCTCAGCCCCACACGCACTGAAGCCATGTCACCAAAACTCTTGAACTCAGCACCACTTTTTCATGAGGAAGGTTAGCACCAGCCACTGCCTCCTGACGCGCTGCCAGCAAGCGGTTCATCTGAGCGAACCAGGATGCTATATCCGAACCACCTCTGTCGCAGGTAGTGCATCCCGTGGCTTCCCTTCCGACCATCTGAGCGAAGGATCATCCGCCCATCATCCAGCCACCCCACCGTCACGACCCTGGAAGACAAACCAGTAGCAGTCACGGGCATAGCCAGATCACTATCGAAGCGCTTCTTTCGCCATCCTCCATGTCGAAAGATCTTCACCGTCACAACTCCATCACGGAATCTCGAGACACACTCATGGGTCGTGCCATTTGACGGTTTGACCACAAGAATGCTCATCACCTTCTCCGAGAAGAGCCAGGCAAAGTCCATCCCTCCCTTCAGGTACTCGAGCTCCTCGATCATGAAGTTCCCGCTCTTGTACTGGAGGTTCACTTTCATGAGGACTTTCTTCCGGTTCTGGGTGGGTTCCAGTGGTTCGAAGACTTCGGATGGCCACCCCTGAGCTACCAAAACCTCCCGCTCCACGACGAGTATTGGACAGTTCATGGGACTCCATGACAGACACATCTGAAATCTTCTCTAGGACCACTTGAGCAATGCGATCACCCACCTCGAACGAAATCTCCTGGTTCCCTTGGTTCACAAGCATGATCTTAATCTCCCCGCGGTAGTCTGCATCAATGACCCCTCCCGTAACATCCACTCCTCTGACAGCCAGAGAGCTACGAGATGCCAGTCTTCCATAGCACCCTCGGGGAATCTCCAAAGCCAAACCAGTGGAAACCAACTTCCTCTCACCTGGAGCAATCTGGACGTTCATTGAGGTGGAAACATCCCAACCTGCAGCCCCAGGTGAGCCCTTCGAAGGCAAGGTCGCGGCCTCATCCAGCAACTTCACCTTGAGACATTCCTTCCTGGCTACAAGCCTCCTCACAATCTCCAAACCAAGATCCTTCATCAGGTGCAGCAGGCAAACGAGGCCAGCGAGCAACACAAGCCAACCAATATCCCTAAACAACGAAGCACCGGTAGGACGGATCTCTTCACCTTTCTCGCATACCTCACTGGCAGCTCCTTGAGGTAATAGGGAAGCACCTGCTAGCATCATGGCCATGCATCTTGAGACTCTGACACCCTCCTCAGCCGAAAGAACATGGGATTGGGTCTCCTTCTTCTCCACCTCCCTGTGCAAAAAGATTCCTCAGCAGAACCTGTCCAAGGATTGCATCGGAAGGGCTTTGGTGAGCGCATCTGCCCACAATGAGGTTCCCACCCTGTGGCTGAGAGTGAGCTCGCCATCTTCAATGCTTCAGCCAAGCAGCTGGCCCTGATCCTCAAGTGACGTGTTCTCCATCCTCTTCCGGCGCCCGATGCCAGTACCACGGCTGCCCTGTTGTCATTGTAGAGCTCGAGGTCCACCTCCGGCAGCAGAAGTTGAACTAAAGATCTGACCGACCTCCCGGTTTGCAGCCCCTCCACCAACGCCGTGAGTTCTGCCTCCGCGGTGGACAAAGCCATGAGACTTTGACGTCTGCTCTCCCATTGCACTGGGCAGCCGGCCAAAAGGATGACTGTTCCTGAGACACTATGGCTGTCACCTGGTGAAAACGAGGCATCCACCAGTACTTCCACGGTTCCATTCTTCCGCGGTACCCTTCTGGCAAGATCAGGATCTGCATCAACAGGCACACCAACAGGGTAATGAAGACCAAAGTCCATCGTAGACCGGAGATACGAAAGCACCGACTCCCCCAACTCCAAAGTCCCTTGAGGCTTTTTGACCGCATTCTGAGACATTCTCATCACTGCCCAAGCAATGTCTGGTCTAGTCTTGCCAGACAACCACAAAAGCTCCCCCGTGACCTTCTGCGCTTGCCAAGTGACGGTGCACTCTCCTCCTTCTCCTCTGGGACCTTGATGAACCCAGAGCCCTCTCGACCAGCATGCCTGTCCAGAACCTCTCGCACATAGCAACCTTGGTGCAAATAGTAGGTGCCATTCTCCTCCAGCCGTTGGATTTCAATGCCCAGGAAACGCATCGGCGCAGCTCCAATCTCGGCATACTCCGGGTTGGACGTTGACCACTTCTTCTTAATAGTTCCCGGGGCCGCATCCGCACTGCATCCGGAGCTTCGCGCGGCGGGCTCACCGAATTCATCTGCCCCACCCCAGCTTCAGGAACCTCCCGAGGCAAATGCGACGGCCTGCAGGCTCTCAAAATCGCTTCGTCTCTCTGAGTTTCGCTCCAGAATGGTTTCACGGGAACCTGCGGACCCAGGGTGGTTGGAGGGCCTGACGGCCTGGCCAGGGCTCCATGCTCTGGCCTGATGTCTTCTATCGCCCTTTGCCCACTCGAATCCGGGGTTCTTTCCGATGTAGGTTCGGACATGGCTTCACGGCACAGTAGCGCGAACAGTTGGGCTCATAACCAACCAAACTCGCCCAGTGAGTTCTTTTCTCGCTCGAATCGAAAAGGGCTTCAAGTTCGTCCACACCCTCAACAACTTCACAAATCAAGCTCAAATGACAAGCTCGAACGACATGTGGTAGGGTTTCTGCTGTAACTACTAGCAAAGTCGAAAAGGCGAACAAGAAAGGCTGCAGGAAATGTGACTTTTGTGCCGTGTCCAGCCGCGCAGGAGCTGTGCGCAGGAAGGAACATGACCGAGACTGAACGTAGTTGGCCAGCCATGAAGTGCTGCGCGTGCTATGAAATCTACTGCACGTGCTGGTTCTACACGTCGAGGTTTACAAAGTGCTGGGCCTTTCACGAAGTTCCTGGTTTACAAAAGGGCTGCGCTTGCAACAAAATCTACAGTTCAAGGTTTACAAAGAGATGTGCCTGCCACGAAATCTGCACTTGGTAGTCCGCAAAGTGTTTTGCCTGCCACGAAATCTGGACTTCATGATTCACACCACGCAGTCCTGCCTGTGCGTTTCGCACATTGAAGATGCCAAAGCGAAAGCTTTCGCGCGATAGCTCAAATTTCCCTAAACGAGCTAGATGTTGAAAGCTTATGTCTCACTGCACTTGCCACGATAAGTCAAGTGGACTTCAGAACAGCAAGGCAGGAGGGGCCCCTTGCCACCAAGATTGAACATGTGCGTACAACAAGAGAGCAGGCGAGTAAAGGCCCTCCTTCGGGACCAGCATTTAAAATTTGTGCAAGCGTGTCGAAGATCTTGAGAGGAATTTTTGTGCTGTAAGGGTCATGAAGTTTGCTGGCCCACCTGTTCTGCCAAAGCCTTAAAGAAGCGTTTATGGTTTACGGAGATACACTTCGCCAGACATATAGAAATCTGAGTCAGCAGTCTAGTTTGGCAGAGGATCAATTCAATCAGGAATTAGGCTGGTTCAGTTTACCAAAGGTCCAACTTACCAGAGATCTAGTGCACCATCTAATTCACCAGAGGTCTACTGCACCATTTAGTGTAGCGCCAACCTACCTCACCAAGAATCTACCTTACCAGAAGTGTAGCCCACCAGAGATCTAATTAGTTTGGCACCGGTCCACCAGAGATCTAGCCTACTATAATCAGAGATCCGGATGGTGAACTGATCTAAATATGGTTTACAGATGTTTACAGGGCTCTACTTTACCAGAGATCTAGTTTTCCATGTGGGTTATGCAAACCCGGTTCCGATCTAGTGTGCCAGAGGTTTGCTTTACCACCTATTTTGCAAAGGAGGGCTCAAGATCAGAGCCTAGTTTAGCAGTGACCTACTTCAAAAGAGCCTTACCAAACCTTTTGGGCGTCTTCTTTTGTATGTTTTTTTGCTTTGCTTGAGTGCATTGTGGTAACCAAGGCTGTCCAAGGTAAAACAAGCATCAAAACAAAACATCGTGGGGGGGGGTTGATCAAGGCAGGAGCCTACTTCGACAGAGCAAAGAATGGGTGGACAACATGTTGCTATATGAGGGTACTTGTGGTGCGAGCGATGCCACAACGGTTGATACTGATGCTAGCATTTTTTGCATCATCAACTGGGCATGATGGCGAGTGCTTTGGCAAATTTGTCGGCTCCAGGATGTTAACGAGTTATGATTTACAAATTTGCAATATGTTCGTTTTAGTTCGTGGAGTCACCGGGTGCGTAAAGGCGTGTTTACAGAGATCTAGATGTGGAGAGTCGACGAAAGGCCCTACGCCGCATTTCTGCTTTGGTGCCCTTTGCGTTGTGTTTGAGGGCTGCCTCGGACCAAAAAGAAAAGTACCTCTGCAAGTGGGTGCTAGCACCAAAGTTCGCCCCTCCGAAAAGCAGGTTCTAGCGATAAGACCTGGCAGATGCATCTTTGAACATTTTTATCAGGGGGTCTGTGTGGGAGTGTTGGAGACCCAGATGGTTTGTTGGAGCTTCTTGAGTGAAACATGTTGCCCTCTGCGAGGGTTGGCATTCGCCCCCTCACTTTTCAGGTTAGGATACTTTTTGTACTTTCGTTTTGTATCTTAGCTACTAAAAGCCACTCAACCAAAGCAAAGCAAAAAGCAACCGCAGCAAAGCAACAATTGCTTGCCAAAGCGGGCAAAAGTGCGGTGTCCCGCGAGGATTTCCTTTTCAGCTATCGCTGCCCGCCCGGGTACACTGGTAGGATATCCCGGGGCCACGGTGTGTTGTGGTTTCGTTTGGTGTTGTCATATATAATATGTGTCATTGCTTGTTGTTTGCTGTCATGTCGAGCCATTGGTCAAACCCCTGGGTTGGGCCACTGGCCGATGGGACGTGTTACGCCAATCCTGGAGAATTAACATATTAAAAATGAAGCTAGAAGAAAAAGAGCATTGTTAAATTTCTTAAAATGTAAGTCTCTAGATGTTTAAAACGCATTGAACAAATTGACTATGTTTGTTTATATTTTTGTGAACAAGTTCGCAAAAGCGTCCTTGAAGAACCGAGCTCGCCAATTAGGCTACCTACTTTGTTTTCTCAAAAGAACCCATTTCAGAAACGGAAAACTCTTCGTGTTCTCTTCGTCTTCTCTTTTATTCGTTTCTTTTGCATTTTGTGTTCTTCACTAAGGTGGGAGATCTCCCCGGTGCTCCGGACGATCAACCCCTCTACAGTGCCGATGGGAGTGCCAGCTGGTTGGACCCCAGCGCGGTCCGGGGGACGTGCCATGGATATTCAGCTCTTTTTCAGATCTTTTTTCTGTCGGTCTTTCAAGAACATATGGAATATGACAGAATCATATATGATGTATCGACAAGCAGGAAAAATCCAGAAAATTTGTTTTGGTGATTGTGCTTTGTGTTTTGTTAGAGGTTCTTAGAGGTTCTTTGAGCCATGGAGAGTGGCTGAGGTTGGCAGCGGGGCCATTTCCACTGCAGCAAGTCTTGCCACTTGTGCTGTTGAACATGCTCCGTGGGTATGTTCACATTCCAGGACAAAAACCTTTTGGTTTCTGGACGGTGTCTTTGTCTTTTGACAAGGCTGGTTGTGCTGGCCTTCATGATCACCAGCCCTGCCATGGCGTTTTCCTTCTTTGTGAGGTGCTCAGCCTTCACTTGTCACCGTGCTTTTACTTTAAGCAGCGGGGATTGAACAAACCGGGGATAACATGTCAGCCTATGGCTAAGGTAACTAGTCAGCCTATAGTGATGCTTTGGCTGATGCACCTTGGAGCGATCAGCTTTGCTTTCGGCCTGAGTGCTGCTGTGGGACTTATGACCCTTGCACAAGATAGGCAGATGATGGCAGATGCGGTATCTTAACATTCTTCAGTGTAACCGAAAGTTGTGAGTTACCTCAGTGTAGCCAGCGGCTTGGCATTCTCTTTTGGGACAGGTGCGACAAAGCTGGAACTCTTCTGGATATGTCATATAGCGGGACTCGATTTGAAGCATATGTGCAAAACGGGTATATTTTAAACTTATATGAAGACCCAGGATGCTTCAGCCTTTTCACTGGTTGGAATTTTTGTGGACAGGCATGCCAGGATCTTGGCAAGAGCAACCCACTCATCAACATGGCCATCGCTTCACGAGTTTTGTTCTTGTGATGCTTGTTGTGCTTTTTCACCCGCATCAACCGTAGGAAGCTCTTCAGCCTCCTCCTCATCATCAACGCCTTTTCCTCTTCTAAAAATCAACGCTTCCTCCCACAAACCTGTCCTTTGACCTCCTGCCTGTTGCATTTTACTGGGATATTCATCCCATCTATATATAGGACCGGTACCCATATCTAATGGAAAGCAAAAAGGACTGGGAGGTATCCGAAAGGAAACCGAATGTCGCTCTGGCTGAAAGCACTTCGTAAAGCCAATTCTCTTTGACCACATACGCCCCAGCCTGTTGCTGAGGTTTCTGTTTAGCGTTGCCTGGAGCTTCATCTTCGATCCAGTATCTTGATAGTCCTCCTCGTGGCTGAGTAGATGCCGAGGCAACTTTAGATGCAATGCGAGCATCTCATTTAAACATCAGCAAATCATTTAACTCATTCAACTCATTTATCGTCTCTTTTCTTTTTTCAAATCAAATCTCAAGCGACACCATCCTACGGCTCTTTTGCACTGCACCTGCAGGGGCCGGTGTTTCACCTAAGCTGCAGTCCATTTGGCACGAAATTAAGTCCATGGCTTCCATTCAAATTCAAACATACCGACATGTTGCCAACATGACCTGTTTGAAGAGAATGGTAAAACTTGTTGGACAGTTCAAAATCTCGTATTTGTATGCAGTGCCAAAGGAGGCCCCAACGATCACCTCAGCTCTGACTGGGGAAGGTGTGTAGGAAAGCTTCAAGTCTTGCAGCTGAAAAGGGTGCAACAGAAATTCAAGGAGGCCATTTTGACACTTAATTCTAATTAAAGTATTCTTATTGTTACTACTAGTAAGGCACTTGCTACTAGAAGCGATGCACTTGTTACTAGTAGCTTTTTGTTTCTACTATAAATCACGTTTGCATAAGATTTCTCATGACTTGCTTTGCACAGACAACATTTAAACCACTTTAAGACACTGCACGTGTGGGAGAACTGCTCGAGGTAGGCTTTATGCACGACTCCTTGGGGCTTCACCGTATTGAGAACCCCAGTGACGAAGAGGCATTGTCCCAGTGTTGATCAACCACTTGCAAAGGAAACGTGGATCTAAGAGCTTTGCAAACCATCGTGCAGGCCGCAGTGTCTTTGCACATCTATTCTCCGCCGTTCAGAGAATGCTTGGTCTTTCCCCCCACTGGTGGCGCTCCAAAGCAAGGCACTTACAACTGTTTCTCCTATCTAACTGCTAACTGGTCGATCTTGTTTTATTGAAATAGATGTTTGGAAGGTGTTTTTCAGAGCGCATTTCGCCAAGGACAGCGCCAATGGTCAGCATCTTTGAGCCCGAGTCCGCTCGAAAGGCACAAAATATTCAAACACTGCTTGAGCAAAAGGGGTTTGTTGAGGATTTACAGAGGAACATAAAGTTCATAGGCTGAAGAAAATTCGCCAACCATCAGTTTGCTGCATTCTCAGCACCATCGAAACTTGTAGCAGACGTAGCAGGAACAATTCAAGACAACGAGAGATTCCTTCACTAAGTGTCCCCCTTTGGTTGTTTGTTTCCTTTGACTGAGGCAGGAGTTTTGTAAGAGGCTTACGGAGTTGCGCAGCGAGGCGAGTGCGGGACATTCGCTATTGAAAGGCCTACAGAAACGGAGCCCCTAGTAGCGGCCTTGTTACTAGTAGTACGGCCAGGAGCCCCTAGAAGCGTCCTCGCTCCTAGTAGTGATGCCCTTTGCTACTATGGAACCTTGTTACAAAGTCACAAGCTTCTGGTTCCCAAGAATGACACAGTCGGATCACACAAAGTTGACGAAGAGGGGCCGAGTTTGACCGTTGAGACAGGATGGCGTGAAGGCCAACCTTCATACCGTTTTGGATCACTTGGTGTCTGCAGAAATGACAGACATAGAGTGGGCAGGGATCTCAGAATAGGATATGATATCATTATGATATCATTATGAATCATTTGATATCTATGAATCGTGCAGAATTGTAAGACTCGCTGTGAATTTGAGCAATAGACATGAGTTGAAGTCATTTGATGATGACTGCGTTCGAGATTCGCACTCGCCGCGCCGCTCCCTTGTCCAGCGCGCTTGAGCCACAACATGTGGCCGCCTGTACTAGGCCTTGTGAGAAAAGGTCCCCGAAACAGCAGACGGAAACCTAGAGCGTTCCGCATCGACGGTGAACTCGGTTTGACCTCCTTTCGTGTTCCCGTGTTTTCACATTGGTAGCGGAGCTGCCAAAGAGCAGCTCCGGATCCATTTGCCGCCATGTCTCGATCCCCGAAGGGAAGCTCGCAGGCGAAAGAGCCGGCCGAGAAGGCCACCCTTGGAAAAGATGAAAGAAGCTACATCCCGCGCTTCGACAACACGATGACCGGCTACCGAGAGTGGCGCAAGAGGATCCTGCTGTTCGCCCGCCGCCAGGCGATCCAAGGAAGAGCAAATGAGACAGGTCTGTCAGTCCTGTCGATCTTGGAAGGTGCAAGCTGGCGCCAATGCGAGGACCTGGACCTCGACGCCCTCGAGAAGGACGATGGCCTCAAGAGCATTTTGCAGAGGCTGGACGCCCAATGGCAGTATGATGATCGGGTTGAAATGCCTGACGCATTCGAGAAGTACTTCTACAAGACGCAACGTCGAGTTGGGCAGTCGCTCCTTGAGTTCTGCACTGAGCGCCAGCAGTCCCTTCGAGAACTTCAAAAGTACAAGATATCGCTCCCCGAGCAGGTCGCTGGTTGGCTGTTGTTGAGGAAAGCTGGCTTGAGCAAAGATCAACAACAGATGATCTACACACAGACCGGCACCGACATGTCCCTTAACAACATCGAGAAGTCCATGTACATGATCCTCGGACAAGACTACAAGCATGTCCACCAACCTGCAGTCCGACGAGCTCAGAACCAAAGCTTCCAAGGACGATGGAAATCCCGCCAACTCATCCACATGGCTGAGGACGATGAGCTTTGGGAACAGGATGACTGGACAGAAGACTATGAGCCCGATGAAGATGCTTTCTACGAAGCTGATGAATGGTATGACCAGGAGTACGACCTCGTTGATGACCCAGAAGATTTGGCATACCTCCATCACACCGATGAGGACACGATCTTCGACACCGAAGAGTACGACATGGCAATGGCAGCTTACACTGATGCCAAACAACGGGTGCTTGAACTCAAGCGCTCACGTGGTTTCTATCCAGTGGTTGCTATGGTCGACAAGAACCAGCTCCCCGTCATGGCCAACGCCAACAGCAGTTCAGGTGGAAAGAGTCCGAAAGGACGCGGGAAAAAGGGGAAATCAAAGTCCAAAGCACCACAAGGAAAAGGACCACAAGGAAAAGCTCGTGCGCGTGATGCAATGGTGTGTCACCGATGTGGCAAGCCTGGACACTTCGCCTCGCAATGCAAGGCAGCAAGCTCTAGCACGACCCCGACCTCAGCAAAGAAGAGAACTTTGGAGGAATCAGATCCTCTCCTCACTGGCATGGTTCTTTTTGAGAATGTCATGGCTTGTGAGAATGACACCTCTCCAAAGAATGTCATGGCTTGTGAGAATGCCACCGCCTCTGAGAATGTCGTGGTTTGTGAGAATGCCACCCCTCATGAGAATGTCATGACCCTTGTGAATGACACAGTCCAAGTCGAGTTCTATGACTGTGAAGAGTTCTTTGAGTGTGAAGACGCCTACAGCAGCTCAGATGTCCTCGTGTCTGAGCATGAATGGTTGGTCCCTCCAGAGATGGCAATTCAGGATCAAGGAGCATCTAGCTTCCTGATCGGCACGGAGTACATCCTTCGCTACATGGCTTGGTTGCAGCTCCTTGGCGTCGATCTCTCACGACTGGAGTTCAAGAAGTGCAGCAAACACTTCAAGTTTGGCGGAGACGCCAGTGGTCACGCAAGATGGCTTTTGTCAGTGCCCACCTACATCAACGGCAAGGCAGGCTTCATTCAGGCATGCATCATCTTCGGAGCCACACCTCCCCTCCTTGGGAGACCAGTGATGGAAAGGCTTCAAGCAGTTGTCGACTTCGGAGCCTACAAGATGCAAATCCTTGGCAGTGATTGGCTTCCAATTGAGAAAGGACGCCAAAACACCATGCTCATGAGGCTAGCTCGCAAAGAAGCTGGTCCAACGCAGTTCAATAACCACCAGTTCGACCTTCGAACTGAGGATGACCACCATGAGATCCTTCGCTTCGACGACTTCATTGAAGACATGAAGGCCCAGAGTCGCTTCAAGTGCATCAAGAGCAACCTGGAGAAGACCTTCAAGCCCTCCACGGTCTTTACGGCTGAAAACCTGGAATCACCTCCTCATGAAGGTGAGAAAGAAAAGAACCAAGAGTCACTTCGCGGTTTTTGGAACATGGTGCTGGAACAGATCTGCAAGGAAGAAAGACGGCTACAACGTGAAATCCTTCATGCCCGTGATCACCAACCTGACCGACAGCCAGTGGTCTGGGAAGTCTATGTCGGACGTGGCAAGGTCACCAAAGAATGTCAACGACTTGGCGCCAAAGTTCGACGATTTGGACTTGAAGA